CATGAATATGGATGTTTTTTCATTTGTTTAGGGCTTCTTTAATTCCTTTCAGTAATCTTTTATAGTTTTAAGTGCACAAGTCTTTCACCTCCTTGGTTAAATTTAGTCTTAGGAATTTTATTCTTTTAGATGCTATTGTAAATGGAATTACTTTCATAATTTCTTTTTTAAATTGTTCATTGAACATGTGTAGAAACACAGCTGATTTTTGTGCATTGATGTTGTATCCTACAATTTTGCTAAATTTATTAGTTTTAGTACCTTTCTTGTGGATTCTTGGGGATTTCCTATATATAGGAAATCATTTCATCTGTGAATATGGATAAGTTTACTTCTTCCTTTAAAATTTGGATGCTTTTTATTTCTTCTTCTTGTTTAATTGCTGTGGATAGATTTTCTAACACAATGTTGAGTAGCAGTGGGGAAAGTGGGAACCCTCGTCTTGTTCCTAATCTTAAGGGGAAAGATTTCAGTCTTTCACCATTGATTATAATTTTAGTGTGGTTTCTTCACAAATGCAATTTATCATGTCGAGGAAGTTCCCTTCTATTCCTGATTTTCTGGGTGTTGCTATCATGAATGGTGTTAGATTTTGTCAAAATATGTATCTATTGAGATGATCATGTGTTTTTGTCCTTTGTTCTGTTAATGTTGTGTCTTCCAATGATTGATTTTCTTACACTGAACCACACTTGCATTCCTGGGCAAAATACCATTCGGTCATGCTGTATAATCCTTTTAATATACTGTTGAATTTGGTTTGATCTGTTGGAACAATAGCACTTTGTGCTCAATACTAAATGTCCTGATGAAGATCTTACATTTCATATTTATCAGCATAAAGAGACAGAAATACCAACTCTCCTACGTGTACCTGAGAGGTTCCTGGAGTTAGAGGTATCTTTTCTTGGTACACTGTGCTCATTTTTCAGTAATCCGGTTTTAATTTCATGGTTTCATTAGGAGAAAACGGCAGTGCAGATGATGTTTAAGCGAGCTAAACCTAAAACGGGGCGTGTAGACAGGTGCACACCCGCGTCCTGGAGCTGCCGTGTGCGGGGGAGCTGAGCACCGCCATTCTGCTTCCCCAAGACAACACCCATCGCGCCGGGGTGAGCCCTTGTCTGAGTGGCTGTGGATTCCAGCCCAAGCTCATTTGTTTAAGTCCGTCCACCAGAAAGCTTTTGAGGAGTTTCCAGTTTAGGATTATTACAAGTAGAGCTGGATGGACACCACTGCCTGTCTTTGGTGAGCATGTGTTTGCATTTCTGTTGAGTATCTGGGAGTGGACTTTGTTGGTAAGGCCAAATTTTGATGAAGCTAACAAGAGAGAGTCGCAAAAAAATAATTCTTCATCCTGAAGAAAAGGACTAGTTAAAAGCCCAATAATGACTGAATATGAGTCATGGAAGAGAGGGTAGGGGTTGACCGAGTGATTGTTTCCCAAACATTAATGTGCATACGGATTGCTATGAGCTGAAAATTGTGTTACCCTGAAATTCCTACGTTGAAGTCCTAACTCCCAGCACCTCAGAATGTGACTGTATTTGGAGACAGGGTCTTTACAGAGGTGCTTAAGTTAAGGTGAGGCCTTTAGGGTGGGCCCTAATCCAGCCTGACAGGTGTCTTTCTAAGGGGAAATTTGGACACAGATACAGAGGGAAGGCCATGCGAAGACACAGCAAGAAGGCAGCCACCTACGTGCCATGGAGGGAGGCCTGGAACAGATTCTTCTTCACAGCCCTCAGAAGGAGCCAACCCTGCCCACACCTTGAGCCTCTCAGCCTCAAAAAGCAGCTGGCACAACGAGGGGCTGGGGTCATGAACGGCGGCACTGACTCCCTGAAGCCGTTCCTGCCACTGAAACCCGGACAGAGGTCACCGTCTGGCTCAGTTCTGTCTGTCACTTTGCTGCGAGTGGCGGGGCTGCGCACACCAGCACCGCGGCCACACGCCGGGGTTGCAGAAGGGCTCGGGCCCTAGGACTTAGCACGCCTGGGCTCTGTATCCCGGCCCGGGACGAGCACTAACCAGCGGTGGGGGCTGGAGCAAATACGTCGGTGCTAACGGGATCCCTCCTGGACGTAAGTCAAGAGGCGCGGAACGCAGAGCCCGGGACCTTCGGAGCCTGTGTGTCGCTCTGCCTTCGCTTCCCGCGAGCCGAAGGGACCAGGGTTCCAGGGTTCCTCTTCCCAAATCCCCCCGTGTGTCTCCGTTGCGCGAGCTTCTTCCTGCTTTCTTCCCGCGGTCACTTTCAGGACGCTTTCCCTTCAGAACTCGTTCTTGAAGTCGCCCAGGGGCACGGCGGGCTTCCGGGGAAGAGCTCGCGCAGGCGCAGAGCCCCGTCTGCGCCCCTCCCCCCGCGGCCCGGGGTCTTCCTCGGCCCCGCCCCTTGTGCCGGCGCAGGAACTCGGATCGCCGGTGTTTAAAAAGCTGCGGGTGGCCAGACCCGAGCGAGAGCCCGCGGCGCGCAGTCGGGGGTCGCGTCCTGCGCCTCGGGGCGGCATCCAGGCTCGGAGCGCGGCGACGGAGGCGAACGGAGGCGGCAGGTGCGGTGTCCCTGCGCAGGGCGGGGACGGGGACGGGGACGGGAGTGGCGGGCGCGAGGACCCGCAGGCTGCCGCCGAGGGGTGGACCGAGGACGGAGCGTGAGCTCGGCCCGGGCGGCGGGCGCAGCGGCGCTGTCTCGGGGCAGAAATGGCCTCTGTCGCGCGGCGGCTGGGCGGCGGCGCAGCCGGGCTGTGCCTCGGGCTGGCCCCGGAGCGGGGCGGCGCGGTCCCCGCGAGCCGCGGGCGCTGTCCCTGCCCGCCGCCCTCTCCCGGCCTCGGTCCTCGCCCTGCAGCCCCGTCCCCACCTGCCGCCCGTTTTCGCACCGCTGCTCTCTCCCCAGGGATCCGCGGGAGGACGTCCGTCCTGCCTCTTCCTGTCCTTTAGAGTCACCCGTCTCCTGTTCCAAACCGGAGCGCTCCTTACCCCTCCTCTCGCTCTCGGTAGCGGCCGGACCGCGGGAGCCCTGCGAGCTCCCGAGCAGCCCTGCGGGGCCCAGAAAGGGCGGCGCCACACACAGCCCTCGCCGCAGCGCCCAGGCTGGCGGGGACCACACGCGCAGGGACAAGGGTCGCGCTGGGGACGTGTCGTGTGGGCGGGGCCGGGCTGCGATTGCTAGTGGAGCTGCGAAGGGCAGAGGGATTAGCCCGGTGACGGGCGTGCGCCTTCTCAGTGGGGTAAGCAGCGTTTGCGAAGGTCCGAGGAGACCTAGAAAGGGGTTCGGGATGGCCAGAGGCGGAGGCTGTGAGGGGGAGCGAGGCCTGGGCAGGGGCGGGCGCCTTGGCGAAGCCATTTCGATAAGGCGGCTTTGAGCCCATCGTTAGGGACAGGGGAGGTTCAAGGGGAGCGGTAAAAGGATCAAGACACCGCTCTCCTCTCAGGATGCCATGTGTCCGTCTGTCTGTCTGTCTCTCTCTCACTGTCTGGGGTGGGGTGGGGGGAGCCGGTTCTGTGTATTGTCCCAAGGCTTCTCCGGTGGTTTGGTTTGCATTTCCGTGGGCACGGGCTGATTACGGTGGGGGGTGGCTGCAAGGGGAGCCTGCATGGTCCAGACTGGGCACAGGACCAGCACTGCACACGTTGGAGAGAGACTCGGGGGCAGGAGGCCCTGGTGATGGGTGTGGGGGGACGAGGGAGAGATGGGAAGGAGCCAGGGAGGTCTCCCAGGGTCTCGGGGGAGCAGCTGGGCGAGTGAGGGTCTCATTACCAAGGACACTGGGAACTGTGGTCTGGGGTGGTGGCAGGTGTGCGCTGGGTTTCAGGTATGTGGCCAACACACCTGCCCACTCGCATTCACACTTTGGCCTCCACTGGCTTCACAGCTCCTGCCTCCTTGTTCTTGCTGGTTTTACTGCCTCACCTTTGGCTGTTCTTTCTTGCCTTTCTGTTCTGGCATTTTGCAGGGATGAGTCCTTTCCTCTCAAGCGCAGTCTACTCTCGTGGCTTTTGGTGGGACTAATGAGTTAAGCTTCCAAACCCACATTTCTGAGTTAGCTAGAACATTGAAGACAAAACAGAACGAAGCAAAAAAAAAAAAACCCACACAGCTGTCTCAGCCCAACTTCCAATGTTTGAAGGTCAGATGATGTCCAGAGGATAGTGATGGTGCCGGAACTCTTTCTGTCTTTCCCATTAGAATGTAAGCTCCTCGAATGCAGTGTAGAGAGTTTTGTCTTTGATTCACAACTGGGTCTTCTGTGCCTAGAACAGGTACTCAGTAGATGTTTATTGAAGGAATGAATTCCTCTTTGTATCACTTGTATCTACCACCAGATACTCTTATCTAGTACCCGCTTGGCATACAGTAGACAGAAAGGTTTGTTGAATGAACAGGTATCCCTTTAATCTCTTTTCATATGTATAGATCTTTTTAACAATAATTAATAGACTTTATGTTTTGGTACTGTTTTAGTTTTACAGCCAAATTGAGGGGAAAGAACATATCCCCTCCCACACTCACCCTGTCCCCTAGAGTCTCCGCTACCATCAACGTTTTGTATCAGTGTGGTAAATTTGTTACAACTGATGAACTAGCTTAGATATATCATTGTCAACCAAAGCCCAGAGTTTGTCAGGTTTCACTCTTCGTGTTGTACATTCTATATACCTCTGACAAATGTATCATGACATGTATCCACCATTGTAGTATCAGACTATACAGGCCCTAAAAGTCTCCTGTGGTCCACGTATTCATCCCTCCCTCCCTGTAACCCCATGGCAACTACTGATCTTTTTTTACTGTCTCCATAGTTTTGCCTTTGCCAGAATGTCATATAGGTGGAATCATACATTATGTCGTCTTCTCAGATTGGCTTTTTTCACTTAGAAATATACTGTTAAGAGTCCTCCATGTCTTTTTGTGGCTTGATAGCTCATTTTTTTAGTGCTGAATAATATTCTGTTGTATGGATATACCATAGCTTTTGTATCCATTCACCTAGTAAAGAACATCTTGGTTGCCTTCAAGTTTTGGAAATTATGAATAAAGCTGCTGTAAACATTTGTGTACACGTGTTTGAATGGACACGAATGGACACAAGTTTTCAACTCATTTCAGTGTGCAATTGCTGAATCCTGTGGTAAGACTAGCTTTGCAAGAAACTGCAAAACTGTTTTCCAAAGTGGCTGTAACATTTTGTATTCCCACTAGGAAAGCGTGAGAGTTCCTATTGCTGCACATCCTCATCAGCATTTGGTGTTGTCAGTGTTTTGGATTTCAGTCATTCTAGTAAGTGTGTAATACTATCTCACTAGTTTTTTTTAATTTGCAATTCCCTAGCGACCTATGATGTTGAGCATCTTTTCATATGCATATATGTATGGTGAGGTGGCTGTTCAGATCTTTTGCCCACTTTTAATCAGGTTGTGCATTTTCTTATTGTTACATTTTAAGAGTTCTTTGTATATTTTGGGCAACAGTGCTATATCAGGTATGTTTTTTGCAAATATTTTCTCCCAGTCTGTGGCTTATCTTCTCATTCTCTTGACATATGTATCTTTTTACAATATGCGATCATGTGTACATTTTGTAACCTGCTTTTTAATATAACACAGTATTTTCAATTTTGCTTTAAACTTCACATTTTAAAGGGCTGCTAAATAATCATCACATTTCTTCCTCTGTAACCCCACTCTACAGATGAAGGGAGATGAATGGTAATTTGCGTATGCTAACCCGCAGAGCTCCTGGACACTCCGAGGTAGTGTCCCCACTGTAACCCAACCAGTGTTTTCCGCTAGGTCAAGCGGCCTCCCCTTCGCGAGCAGAGGTTTCTTTCTTCTTTTCTTTAGGCCTACCGATTCGCTGGAAACAAAGTAAAAGCGCGCCCCGTTAGCTGGCGCGGGGATTTAAAACGTGGGAACAAGGCCTGGCTGGCGGCGGGGCGGGCACTCTGACAGTCCTCCTTCTCGGCGGGAGGAGGCAGGGCGCGCAGTCCACGCCCTCCCGCCGAGCGCACTCAACGCGGACGCGCGGCCACCGACCGGCCTCCCAGAGGGCGGCTGTCCCGGCGGCCCCCAGGTCAGGACGCCCGAGCACGGCTGTCCGGGCGAGACCGAGGGAGCACGGCTGTCCGGGCGAGACCGAGGGAGCGCGGCTGGACGGCGGGGCCACGGAGCCGGGCGCGGTGAGCGGGCGGGCGCGGGGCGGCCACTCCCGAGCCCACCGAGCCCAGGCCCTGGCGACCCCCTCGTCCGGGCTTGGGCGCCCTGCCCCAGCCCGCCCGGCGAGGCTGCCGCGGCGTCGGAGTAACCACTGTCTCTCCCAGCGCCGCTCCTTCGCTCCCCCGGGCCTCGGCAAATGTGCCGCGGAAACGAAAGTAACTCTCGGATGCGTCTACGCGGAGGCCGCGGCCGCCGCCAAGCTCGCGGGCAGCAGGCTTCCGGGTAGCGGCCGGGCTTTCTGACACCAGGGTGGGCGGGGGGCGGGGCCTGCGCCGAGAGGGGCGGGGCGCGGGCGTTCCCGGAAGTCCGGCTGCGGGTTGTCAGCTGCGGCGCGAGCCGTGACGCTCCTCTGTCGCCCGAGGTCTGGGCGCAAGTCGGGAGGGCGAAGACCTGCCCTCGGGCCACGACTGGGGTGTGGCGGTGGAATAGTCGCTTCGGTGTGAACAGCGTTATTGTCTTCGTAGGGACGATGGGTTGTTATTGTAGTAACATTAAGAAAAAGTAGTGCGTGCTCTTGCTTAGCAGAGTTCTGTCCCTGCATGGGGCTTCTCATGAACCCTTGGAAAGGGCCTTTTAGTGTTGCACTTGGGGCCGCAGCTGGTTGGAAGCCCATCAAGAGCATTCCTGTGCAATCTTAGACGTCAGCTGGCAAATGGGAAAGGAGCGGTCAACAGCAGCTGAAGGGATGAATGTCAGAACCCTAGGAAGCTGCTTTGGTCGTCAGTGGCATTTGCTTTCATGAAGTCCTACAGACTCTCTCTTCAGTGCTCTGAAGAGGTTAGGCTGCGTCCTCCTCTCCTAAGCACCCGACAAAGCCTCGGAAGGATGGGTGGGGGAAGGAGGTCTGGGGTCGTTTGGCTGTTCGGAGCTCTTGTTTGTCTTGGGCAAAGCGTGAGGCTGTTCTAATCAAGGAATTTTGAAGTCCTCATGTCTTTAGGCCACTGTTAGTTCTTCCCTTGTTTACACTTGAAGAAACCAAGGCAGGGAGCGCACTTTGAAATGCAGTGACTTAGTACTCATCCGCATTTTGTGACTGCCAGGAAGGTGCACTAAGGAGGAAATTGTGATCAACTAGATTTGTGGATTACTGCAGCTCTTCCATACACCAAAGTGAAGACAAGGCTTGTTTAAAATGAAATTTGGAGTGTACCATCATTGTTTTTACTGATAAAACAGCAAAAATGATTAATTTTAATTTTCGTCTATGTGCATTATATTTTGCCCCAGAAATATGTTGTGCTTTCAGGATTGTGAATCTGAATGAGTATTAAGAAAAATTCCTAAAATAGCAACTTCCAAACTGGGCAAGCTACTATGTAGTGTTTGTTAATCCATAACA